AGTGGGCTTGGAAGATTCAGGGTCTGGACTTTTTGTATTTTTATTTAATTTATTTATTTTTAAATTTAATTTTTGGACTGTGCTGCACGGCATGTGGGATCTTAGTTCCCCAACCAGGGATCGAACCCTGCAGTGGAAGCACAAAACCTTAATCACTGGACCTCCAGGAAAGTCCCAGGGTCTGGATTTGACTTTCTTAGGCCTGGACATTGATGTAGCTTATGGCTGGGCCAGCTCCCACCTTTCACTTCCGCCAGACCTTCCTTCCTGGGCCATTTTCCTAAACGACTCTCAAGTTGGCACTTTACTTGGAGGCTCCTGTCCAGCTGGGGAAAGGAAAAGACTGTGCTCTGAGCTCTTGGGACTCTAAGCTCTTTTTGGAGCCCAGGACCATGACCTCCCTGTTTTCTCCCCGCAGAGGGAGAGAGAGAAGGGGTTTCAGCCAGAGCCTGCTTTAAAGGCTGCTGGTGCCAAAGGCAGTGGGTGGCTAGTGGTCTGGCCTCCAGTTCCAGGCCCAGATGCCAGTCTGGCTGCCCCAGTACCAAAGCCTTGCTTGTGCAAGGGGAATGCTCAGGCCTTCTTCATTTTTAAGGACAAATCAGGATTTTCCCAAATGGGCTGCCAGGTACATCTCCATGCTGTGACTCATGAGGCTTCTCTTGTTGCCTTTACACTAGGCTTTGCTGGTGCCCAAACCCCAGTTCCTTTCTGCCTTTGTAAAATGAAGATAATGCTTCCTGCCACCTGAGCTGTGGTAAGGACAGTTAAATGAGGTCACCTTTTGCATCTGGCACCTGGCATGGGCAGGCATTCGGCTAATATGAATTCATCTTTTTTATTGGCCCTGCCCTGCTTACTTGCCTAGTCCTATCCAGGACTTTAGCTCTGCTGAACTTATTGCTGGGCCTCTGGCATCCCTGGAGTGACAGAAGTGATCTCTTATCCAATTAACAAGCATTTCTGGAGGTCTTGGTGTTTTACTCCTTTACCCAGGTGGCACCTTCTCTCAAGTGCCAGCCTTAATGACTGGCCAGGTCCCTTCCTCTGTTTCACAGCACCCCTGTGTTCACCTCTTTCAAAGCCCTTGCTCACACTTCAGTGTGGACATTGCCTGTTTCCCCACCCCTCTAGCAGTTTATGAATTTATCAAGGTTGAGACCAAATTTGATTCATTTTTCTGTCCTCATTGCCAGCCCAGGGTCTGACTTAGTAGCTGCCTGGTAAACCTTTGTGGGATGAGTAAGTAGGAGCCACTCTCGTCCTCTTTGATCCCCTGTCCCCTCTCGATCTCTTTTCCCCCCATCCTTGAGGGCAGGAGGTTGCTGTGTGCCCTGCTTTTTTAGAACTACTTCTTCTGTCCAGTCTGGGGTTGTAGTCGTAGTTGCAGCTTCCCTGCTGAAGACCCCTGGCTAGGGCAGGCGCCATGGTGCTGGGAGATGGCTGACCCTGCAGGTCAGGGATAGGGGAACTGGCTGGAGTAGGCCAGTCCAGTGTGACAGCCTCAGGGCAGGAGGGACACCTGGACTGCTGGAATGTTGTACACAAACAAGAGTTTGTGCTGTGGAAGCCCATTAAGAGCTTCCAGGTGCCTTTGTCATCTCTGGAAAGCTAGCCACACCTTCCTGGTGTGTGGGCCCTGATGGTGGGGCTACTGGCTATTCCCTTGTCACCCTCTCTTCATCCCCTCCTGTCTAGCCACTCACCTGGGACTTTCTGAGGGCCTCTCAGTTGTACGTCATCTCTGGCTGTGCTGGTCTTGCCCCTTCTTCTGTTACTGATGACCACCTCACCAGTGCATGGTATGTTGTTTCGAAAGCCTTTTCAGGTCCTGAAGCTCCTCTGAACCTCTTGACAGCTGTCGGGCAGATCACATATCCCCCGTTTGATAGGCTGAGGCTTGGAGAGTTCAGGTAGCTGACCTGAACTCATGCAACAAGTGAGTGACAGAGCTGGGGTTGGAACCCAGAGCTTTTTAGCCTCTAAACCCTGTGTTTCCTACTTTGCCAGGAATTTCTCTCACCTGAGCTGGCTAAAAATGGCCTGCAGAGAGGTGATCTCCTCTGTCTGATTGGCATTAGCCCAGATCCTGTAAATCCCTAGGCTGGGTCGTGTCCCCAAGGAGCAACCTTGGGATTTCTGGTCCCTAGACCTGATGCGGGCTCAGGCTGGCTTCTTCTGGTGGCCAGCAGATGGCGCGAGGAGGCTGGGAAAGATCTGCTGCTTCCGGTTCGTTTTGTTTTGAGATGGAAAACATACTTTAAGTGACACTTGGACATTATTTTTTAATAGATTTATTTTTTTAGAGCAGTTTTAGGTTCACAGCAAAATTGAGCAGGAGGTACAGGGAGTTCCCATATACCCCCTTCCCCCCCACACATTCAGAGCCATCCCCATAATCAGTGTCCCCCACCAAAGTGGTACATTTGTTACAATCATTGGACCTACATGGACACATCATAATCACCCAAAGCCCATAGTTTACATTAGGGTTTGCTCTTAGTGTTGTACATTCTATGGGTTTGGATAAATGTATAATGATGTAACCACTGTTACAGTATGTAGCATAGTTTCACTGCCCTAAACATCCTATATGTTCCGCCTATTCATCTCTCCTTTATTTGTTTATTTATTTATTTATTTATTCATTCATTCATTCATTTATTTTTAGCCACACCAGGCGGCATGCCGGATCTTAGTTCCCTGACCAGGGATTGAACCCGTGCCCCCTGCAGTGGAAGCATGGAATCTCAACCGCTGGATCACCAGGAAGTCCCTCTCCATTATTTTTTTTAAAAACATCTGAAAATACACACTTGTACAGATTCACTTAACCCCACACCTTTAGGGCCAGCTGTACTTTGGAATTCAGAAAAATTTCAGAATTTAGGAAAGTCACCTGGTATGTGTACTGTGTATTATGTAACACCTCCTGTGGGGTCTATAGCCGCACCTCATAGTCAAACACCTGAATGTTTCTGCATAGAAATGTTTGAATACTCGCCTCTAAGTGGAATAAATGGGTTCTTGTCAACTCAGGTCGGATTGTGATGCTAAATGAGTTAGATAAAGACTTGGTTTTAAAAGCTTTTAGAAGTTTGGAATTTTGGGTAAGGTATTGTATACCTCTTTTTATAAAGGAGGTGGTGAAGTAAAATCATCTGTAATGCCAACATTTAGGGATAATATTTTGTTGAGTAAAGTCTTCCCAACTTTGTGTGCATGTGTGTTTGTATACATATGCATATATGTATGTTAAATGTGTTCTATCACAAGTGAGATCATACTTTGCATATGTTTTGCCTTATACAGTATATCTTGGAATTCCCTAGCTGTATGTGGAGCTCAGGAACTAGACTCTTGCCAGTCACTCCCTCCTAAACATCTCCCCTACGCAAAGGGACTAGAGGGTCCCCAGGTAAAACTCCTCGAGGTAGAGCCAGGTTTTCCCCCCAGGCACTTGCTGGGTCTGGGCCTCTGGCTGCCTAGGGGAAGGCCCAACACTGGACTCTCAGCGTGGTCAGCAGTGGTCAGAATACAGATGGGGCTTCTGGTCTCAGGGCAGCTGAGACCCCCCCTGGGAGCAAGTCTGCTCACACAGTGACTGATTCCCTAAAAGAAAGGGTCTCCTCCTGCTTCACATGCACATGCACAGAATTGTCAAGCAGGGCAGAGAACTGGACCCTGCCCATTGTCCTCTCAGCCAATCATCTGGGCCCCTTGCGAGCTCAGGGGCAGGGCCCTGGGGCGAGGGTACAGGCCTTTCCTGTTGCTGACCCCCACCTCTTCCCTCCAGCAGGAGCACTGGTTTGAAAAGGCCCTGCGAGACAAGAAGGGCTTCATCATCAAGCAGATGAAGGAGGACGGCGCCTGTCTCTTCCGGGCTGTAGGTGAGTCTCTGCCTCAGCCTTCAAGGGCCTAGGGCTGCCCCTGAGCTGTGTCCCAGTTGTCAGGAGTAACCCATGTGACAGGGTTGGGGGCAGAGTTAGCTGATCTTTTAGGGACTCCAGGCCCCAGCCTCAAGTTAGTATCTGGCCTCTAGCCCTCAGTCATGAGGCAGTATGGTGGTATGAGAGTAATAACAGCAATAATAGTGATAAAGAAAGTAACATTACTTAGGGACAGATTGCTCTGTCAGACACAACAGGAAACCCTTTTAATTCTCCTCCAAGCTAGGTAAGTGTAGGACTATTGCTTCCAGTTGTTAGATGAGAAAAACATCTCAGAAATAGGGAATGACTTATCTAGGGTCAGAGAGTACATAGAACAGTCGGGAGTCAGAGTCTGGGTTAGGTTAGTCTGAGGCCTCTTAACTGCAGCACACAGCTGTTGCCCTGGAATCATAGAACTTTTTTTAAACTTACACGAAAGAAGAATAGTGAACCCTCATGTACCCATCATTCATCTTCAAAATAATCGTTAACATATTGCCAGCCTTGTTTCATCACTACCCCACCCACTCTTTTTTACTCTTCTGAAATGAGTATTTTTAAAGCAAAACCCCATCATGGATCATCTCATTCGTAAATATTTCTGTATGTTTCTCTGACAGATAAGGGCCCTCTCTTTCTCTTTTAACATAACAAAAATGCCATTATCATACCTAACAAAATTAATAATTCCTTAATACCATCTACCATCCAGTCTGAGCTAGATCTTTGAAGCTTCTCTGGCTCTGAATCTCTGACTCAACAAGCAGTTGTGAGGTCCTGTGCTGGTGTCCAAGGGAAGCTGGGAGTGTGATCTGATCCTCCCTTTGGAGCTCTGATATCTCCCAAGGAAAAGTGCCCTCCAATAGGAGCTTTGAGCTGGGGGTCAGAAGCCCTTTCTTCTAGTTCTTCCCCTGACTCATAACTTCCATTTTCCCATCTGTGAATGGTGTTGATTCTGAAGGGCTCATTGAATCCCTTCTGGGTCTGCTATTCTCCTAGTCTGTGCAGACCCGTCATGTCTGTTGGTGGGCTGGACTGACTCAGGCTCCACTTCTGGCTCTACCATTGATTCTTGGTGTGCCCCTGGGCAAGCACCTCTTTTTTCCCTGAGCCTGTTTTCTGTATCTCAGGTACCTGTGTACCATGAGGCTAAAAGATGTCCTGTTATAATGGTTAAATGAGATTACTTTAGTAAATCCCTTTAGTGCCTGACTTGGTAGACTCTCGTGGAACAATAACATTGATAAAGCTTGAATGCTATTATTAGTGGTGCCTCAGAGCCACAAATGTTTGAGTGGGTGAAAGAAAGTTAGGTGGGGTGGCTGGTTGCCTCCCTATTCTACCAAGCAGAAGAGGTTCAGGCAATGGAATCTGCTGGGCTGGGAAAACTCCAACCTTCCTATCCCTGTGGCTCAAGTCCATGTTCTCCCTGGGATGTTTCCTAGAGAAAGAGCTAGGTTTGGGGGCATCTTGGACCAAAGGAAGGCAAAGAAAGAAGACGTGGGGGCCCATTAGGTGTTAGGCCTGTGCTGAGACCTTAGGTTGAAGGTGGGGTAAGCAAGGCTGCTGGTGGAGTGAGGGTCAGAGAATGCAGCTGGGCATCTGGATCTTGGGTGGTCTTTGAGGCAGACCTTGGGCCTGGTGAGGACCTGGCTTGGCAGTAACCCATGTCAAGAACAAAATTTAAGTGTGTGTCCATCTAGCTGTTCTCCCCAAACACCTTCTGACCCTTCCCCCTCATTGGGGCCTTCCAGTAAGGGGCCTAAGTTTACAGGAAGAGCTGACCATGACAGGTTGAAGGCCTTTCCCTGTCAGCACTATGGCTACACATTTCCTCTGACTGGGCTGCCCTTGGGTTTTCTTCGTAAAACCTCAGAAGCCCCACGGCCTCTCCCTGAGAAGTACATGACCCCCGGGTCTCTAGGCCTCACCTTGAGGTTTCCCTGGGGCAGAGTGCACAGGACATGTGCCTGGGAAGGGGACTTTATCCTCAAGCTTTCTGCTGCCCCTTTGCTTCCAGCCTAGCTTGGGACAGGGACAGGTGGTAGTTACCCTAGGCTCTGGTGAGAAGGGCTACAGGCTGCCACATATTGAATAGTAGAAGGACCACGTAACTAAGGGCTGGAATTGGAGGGGGGACCAACATAGAGACCACTCTGTCATTCCTTGACCCCCGAGTGATTGCTAGGCATTCCTCAGGGTGCTTCAGGTTCACCTGCAAAATTGCGATCATTATCCCATGAGACAGGTGAGAAGATTGAGGCTCAGGAAAGGGAAGTGACATGCTCAGGGTCATTAGTGGCAGAACTGCATGGGAACCAAGAGATGTCCAAAGGACACATTCTTTCTATGACCCTAGGGAAGCCCTAGCTTCTTAGCTTAGCTGTCAACTGGCTGGGTGACCTTGGCTTTATTCCTTGACCTCTCTGGGTCTTACTTCTTCCAACTAGGAACCTGTGGTCCTCTACTCTTAGGAATCCTGAGGCAGGTGGGTTTCTACCCTCTGTTTTACCTCTGAGGTCTGGGTGTCCCCAGTGTGAACCAATATCCACTGCTTGTGCCCAGTTCTCTTTTCCACCACCACCTGTTGGGAACTCGTGAGCATTGGCACAGGCTTGGATGGAGTGGAATTGGGAGCCTAGGTCCCAGAGGTATCCTGTGGTCCACCCTGCCCCTGCTATGCTCAGATAACCTCCTCCTGGAAACGTGAGTCTGCATCTCTCTTCCCTCCCTCTCTCTACATGGCTTTGACTCAGCAAAAACCTCTGGCCCTGGCCCTGGTCTTGGCCTTGGCCTCAGCCTCTGTGGGCAGAGTGGCAGCCACACGTGCGTGTGTCTGCGTGGGCCTTGGGGATACAGCTGGGACTGTGCACGTTACAGTGATGGGGCCCAGAAACATTAACGAGGCCCACTGCTCTGGACCTTTTAGTCTTGGAACATGGACTATCAACATTGGAGGGATGGATCTTAGATCAATTTTGACTCTTCTATAAAACGGAAATAGGCCTTAAGAGAAAGTCAGGGCCTTATTATCTAGGTCACACAGCCAGTATCAGAAGATTGGTGTTTGAGGTTGAGCCAGGCCAGAAGGAGAAGAATCCCATGGGCCGCCATGTACACCAGCTTCTGTTGACCTCTCTCTGCCCTTCCTCCTTCAGTGTTCCCATCTTTGTAGTGGGCATTTTATTTATCTGTCTATCTATCTATCTATCTATCTATTTAATTATTTATGGCTGCGTCGGGTCTTAGTTGCAGTGCACGGGATCTTTCATTGTGGTGCGCGGGCTCTCTATTTGTGGCATGCAGGCTGCCCTGCGGCATGTGGGATCTTAGTTCCCCTACCAGGGATCAAACCCACGTCCCTTGCATTGGAAGGCGGATTCTTAACCACTGGACCACCAGGGAAGTCCTGCAATGGGCATTCTTGAGTAGAGGAGCAGGCATCTCAAGAGACCAGGCTATTGAGAGGGCTGAGTTCTGCTGTCTCCCCCGCTGAGGGTGTGCCAGTTGGGGTAGCTGGGGCCACAGGCCAGGTATGCACCACAGCTGCTTGACAGGCAGGTGAGGCCTTATTTTTGGTTCATCTCCTCAGTGGGGCCAGTGTTCCCACTGGGCCAGGAGAGAAGCAGGGAATAGAGCAGGTCCTGTCTCCCCCTACTGCTTTGTACACACATTCGTGTGGTTTGTTTTTAGATTTCCCTGCACACACCAAGCTTCCTTTTCTGTCCTCAGTGGAACTCGCTGTGGCTCTTCCAGCAGGCAGGTAGGCAGGCAGGCAGGCAGGCAGCAGCCTGGTAGGGAGGTAATCCCCAGGTGCCTCTAAAACAAATTGTAGGGCCTTGTACTTAAACTCTTTATTTATTTTTTTAAAAAATTTATTACTATTATTTTTGGCTGCACCATGCAGTATGTGGGATCTTAGTTCCCCGACCAGGGATTGAACCCATACCCCCTGCAGTGGCAGCATGGAGTCTTAATCACTGGACCTCCAATGAAGTTCCCCTTAAACTCTTTAGAGAGTCCAGGCTCTTCTGTCTTGCTCTTCCACATAATTCCTCAACAAATAGTGACTACATTTTGGGGGACCTTCCCCCAGGCAGCAGGGGAGGGAGGTTGAGACAAGTCTGTTAGAGCCATTGGCTATTCCCCCCTCCCATCAGGCCCCGTGGCAAAGGCTAGGAAGGAGGTGTGGAGGGGTCCTCAGTTGGTACAGCCTCGTATCTTGTCCAGCCTTCAGTCTTTCCTGGTTGGTGGCAAGGGCGTCTACTTGTTGGATGCAATAGTTCTCTGCAGTTGTGAGGGTTGTTATGTGGGTATTTGGCCTCAGGGAACATCTTTGGCAGGATCTGCTGGCTGTGTGCATGCACATATGCATTTCTATGCTGCTGTCTCTGTATGCTCAGAGAAAGGACAGAAGTAGGGTGTGGGGAGGGAAAGTTCATGCTGACCTCTATGGCCCTAGTGAGGGGTACAGCCCCTGATGTCTGTAATCTCTGCCCACTTTCAGGTCTTTCCTGCATTCCAGCTGATTCCTGCTTGTGCTGGTGGGGAAACTGAGGCAGTCAGGATCAGGCCTGGCCTAGAGAGTCAGGTGGCTAAGGTGATAGCTGGATTGGGAGTGGTGGTAATGTCACCTGGGGCATCAGTGCTTGAAGTTACCAGTTACAGCTTGAAAGCCTGGCCTCTCCTTCAACCTCCCAAATGTGTGACCTTGGGCCAACTATGGCACATTTCTGTACCTCAGTATCTGTCCTGTGTAAAGTAGGTTTTTTTTTTGGTAAGAATGGAATGAGTTAGAATGTGAAAAGGCCTTGGTGGAACCGATTGTAGTATTGTACTGAGGATTTCTGAGCCCTATTTGGGTTGGGGACAGAGGTGAGGTAGTGGGGACCCCCTTTCAGCTGGACTCTGGGAGGGGAGAGCAGGTGCAGATTGCCAAGTGCAGTGTCAGCAAGAGGAGGAGTTTCGGTTTCTATCAAAACAAGTGCTGTGAATTCCCCTACCTCTGCAGGACCATTGAGCCCTTTCCCTCCACCTTAGACCACACAGGGAAATCCAGCTCAGCTCCTGGTTCCATGTGCCACCTTCTCGGGAGGAGGAGGGCTTTCTGGAGGACAGAGGTAGGGCTGGCAAAATCAGACAGGCATCTCCTGAGTGAGGATTTCTGTGTTCTTAGCCCTGCACTGGGTGTTTTTCCTGCCTTATGTCATTCAAAAGATCATTCTACTTTCCCTCATTGGCAAGGTACTCTTGCTCTGTTTCCTTGGTTCAGAGATGCACATTTTCTTCCATGTTGATGATCCCCAAACTAGGGTACATCTTATAACCAGTGAGGTGGGTTCCCCCATCCCAAAAGCTGTGATTAAATACATGTACCGTAGAGAAGGTGGTATTTTACATTTTATAGATAAGTAGAGAAGGGCATACTTTGCCCACATGTAAGGAACCCATTTTGTGAGGCCTATTTGGTTGCTGAAGATTTGAACTACAGGCACAGAATGTAGGCTTGTGGACCTTTGGATTCAGCAAAGGTAGAGAACCAGTTCTGCCTTCGTGAGGAGGGACAACCTAGACTTTGAGTTTGGGGCTTTCCTCTGGCTGATGAAGTGCAACAGAAATGAGGAAGGACTTAATAAGTGGTTCCGGTGACATTCTAGCTGACTTGTGGGTGGCTAGCTTCTGAAGGAGTCATCGTCCTCCTTATGACAAACGGAGCCCTGTCTCTTGAACACCTAGTATGCTTTAGGTGTTCGGCAGACCATCCCCTGTAGTCTTAACAACGCCCCATGAGAGGAAGAGGAGTTATCTCCCCCACTTTATGGATAAGGACATTGCAGCCCAGAGTGGTTAAAGGCCTTTTCCAGTGCCACATAGCTAGGAGGCAGAAGAGCCTTTCTGTCAGGCAGAGGAGTCAGTGACAGGGCAATGGGGGGACCCTCATGGGAAGGTTCTCCCCCGACTCCCTTCCCTGTCCACAGTCTCCCCTCTTTCCCCCAACTTCTTGCATCTGGCATCTAGGTCAGGTAGATCTACCTCCCAGGCCTGGAAATGCCTGTTGACCCTTCCCTAGGAACATCTCAGCCACCTCCCTGAGCCTGACAGACCAACTCCTATTTTTTAACCCCTTCACTCCTGTCTCAGTTCCTGTTTACTGCAGCTGCTGACAGCATTGCCTCTTTGGCACCCCAAGTTTATTCTACAGAAATAGCTCCTCGGGCAGCTCCAGCAGCCACAGCGGGTTCTGTGGTCCTGGCTTCTAAGAAAGGCAGTGACTGGGGGCCCCCAGCCTGTGCACAGGGCATGTGACTTGCTGGAAGTGCTGCTGGGGGGTGGGGCAGGGGAGAGTGTGGCCGCAGAACCCACATCCTTGTTTACATCGGTGAAGGGACTACCCCTTCGCGCCTTCACAGCCCCCACTCCCCATCCCTCTCAGGTCTCTGCACCTCCAGGAGGACGTGAGACAGGCATGGGCCCTGTTTTCTATCTCAGAGCGGCCTTTTTCTCCTTATCTCACATAACCCTCCAGGGAAGGAAGGGGAGGGCAGCGAAGGCGTTCTTCTAGCGATCCTTCACAGAGGTAGTCTGGCTGTCATGGAAGAACTCTGCAGTATTCCCTGCAGGACCTGCCTCTGCCCCTGCCCCAGTGCCCCAGGGAGATCCTGTCAGAGCAACGGTCCTTTGGGGAGACAAAGGGAAATTCCCTCTTTGTCTTAGCCAGTGGACATAAGGCGTGCCTCATGTTCAAGCCCACTTTAATTTCTCAGGGAGAAGGCTCCCTGGCTCCCCCAGCCTTCCCATCCACTCGGCAAACTGTTCCCAATTTCTTGCACTGCATCAGGCTCTGAGGCTGGGGGTGGACTTGGATGTGAACTGCCCTCTGCCCTCAGTGGGAACCCAGTGTGATCAGGCAGATGAAGTCTGTACGTACCTTTGATAAATCTGGTGATAGAGGTGCTCTGGAGGGTGGGGAACTGTTTTAAGAATACATTGATATTTGATAAGTAGGCAGACAAGGAGGATGGAAATAATGTCTTGAAAAGGGAACGGCATGTTTGAACATCCTTAAGTGAGGCAGAGGGAGCCTAGTTCTTATTGTGACCCAAACCCTATAATGCCTGGACCATTTGGGCCACAGGCTGCCTTTCCTGAATTAAGCTTAAGTTAGGTGCATATGTGTCTTACCTCTCTTATAGAATACGTGCTTCTTGCGGATAGGGGCAGGATTTTACTCACCTCTATCACCTTCACAGTACTGCACGTTCAGGCCCCACTATAGGAAAGGGGGCTCTGAGTGACTGCTCTGTCGCAAACCCAGTGCTAGTCACTTCACACCTATTATCTCATTAGTCCCACGAGAGGCCTGCCAGGAAGTCATCCAGCTCCATCCCATGTTACACGTGAGGAATATGAAGGTCAGAACACTTGGGTCATTTGCCTCTGGTCATTTTGCTCACTAGTACCTAGCAGAATTGGGCTTAGAGCCCAGTTGTTTTTCTTTTCCTTTCCTTTTCTTTTTTTTTTTAACCTTATAAAGGCCATACTGACTCCTGAGAGTCAGGAAACTGAATTACAGAATTGAATCTGTCACAGACTTGACTTCTGTGTGACTTTGGTCAAGCCACAAACTCCCCGAGCCTCAGTTTCCTCATGTGAAAAGTGAAGGGGGTATATGTGGAGTTGAAGGTGCTTAAGGCCACTTAGGGATTTAAAATGTTTGTTGACAAAGTCATCTGCTCAAGAGGCCTGTGGTTGTGTCCCTCTTACCTGTACTCCTGTTCTTAAAGACTGTCCCTGCCTGCCTCTTTTTTCATGACCCTGTTCCAGCCCACAAAGCCAAGAACTCTCCATGCCTTAGGGTAGGAAAGGGCATTTCCCTGGCCCCCAGCCCTCCACCCCCAAGGATGTTCTGTGACTCAGAACTCTTCTTTGGTGGCAGCTCTGACCCCAGCCTCTCCTTCTGTCCCCACAGCTGACCAGGTGTATGGAGACCAGGACATGCATGAGGTTGTGCGAAAGCACTGCATGGACTATCTGGTGAGACCTTGCAGAGACCTTGGGGCGGGGGCAGAGTGGGAGGATCTCTTCTCCACATAGAGCTTGCTCCTCTGATCTGTTCTGCAGATGAAGAATGCCGACTACTTCTCTAACTATGTCACAGAGGACTTTACCACCTACATCAACCGGAAGCGGAAAAACAACTGCCATGGCAACCACATTGAGATGCAGGCCATGGCAGAGATGTACAACCGGCCCGTGGAGGTGTACCAGTACAGCACAGGTACTTCTGTGGTGTTGGTGAGCGACTGATCATGCCTGGTCCGAGCCTGCCCCACCCAGCCCATCATGGATGCTCCCTCCTTCTCTTTCTCTGCAGAACCCATCAACACATTCCATGGGATCCATCAAAATGAGGATGAACCTATCCGTGTCAGCTACCATCGGAATATCCACTACAATTCAGTGGTGAATCCTAACAAGGCCACCATTGGTGTGGGGCTGGGCCTGCCATCATTCAAACCGGGGGTAAGCAGGTCCCCGTGCCCAGAATGGATGCTGGATATAGAGACCAGAAATCTCTGTTGGAGTTTCAGTTTTGCCCCTAGCCCACAAAAATATCCTGTCCCCTCTCTGAGTCGACCATAAGGTCTCACCTTTGTGAAGTTAGGAAGTTACCCAAGGTGATCTCTCAGGGCTCATTCTGTGGTCTTGGTTTGCCGGTCTGAGCTGGCTCACCCATCTTTTGTGCCTGTTAAGGGTGGGCATTTGGGGATATGGAGTCACACTTGGGAACTGTGAGCCAGGACTTCGTCTGGGTGTCTTGGCACCCACATGGATCCTCCTCCGAACCTCAGCAGGTACAGACAACTGTGGTCACAGAGACTTGGAGTGTAGGCCTGGCCCCACAACTTACTGGCTTGGGACCTAAGGCAGATTGTACAAGTAATTTGACTGGCAGCTTGGCCGATACAGAAAGTGCCTAACACTGGGCCTGGTGCTAGTAGGTGCTCAAAAGGTGGCAGTACATTTTCTCAGCACACAGTGACAGATTCTGATTCTCTGTCTCATAAACAGTTGTCTGCTGGGGATTTTGGTATCTTCTATTCAGGTTTCACTTCCTACAAACAGAAAGTGCTCCTGCCTCATTTTAGGAAACACACCCTAACACCAACACACCCTGTAACATAAAGATTGTTTGGTTTTGTTTTTTAAATTTTTAATCTCAGAACAGTTTTAGATTTATGTAATTATTGTGATTATAGAACTCCCATATACCCTCCTATGATTAATGTATTAGCATAGTGTATTTGTCACACTTAATGAACCAATATTGATATATTAACTAAAGACCATATTTCTGTGACAGTTTTTCTGAATTTCCTTGTTTTTGATCTGTTTACAGACTCTATAGTTTTGCCTTTTCTAGAATGTCATATAATTGGAATCATACAGTATGTAGTTTTTCCAGTGGCTTCTTTCAAGTAACACTGTACACTTAAGATTCATCCGTGACTTTCTGTGGTTTGATCACATGTATCTTTTCTTTTTCCTTTTGTTAAAAATGTGAGTGCCCTAAGTTTTTTTTTTAGTAGACTTGTTTAGAATAGTTTTAGATTTACAGAAAAATTGAGAAGATAGTAAAGAGTTCCCATATACCCTGCTCCCCCTTGCACACATTTTTGCTATTATTCACATATCAGATGACTGTGATACATTTGTTACAATATATGAACCAATATTCACACATCATTATTAACTAAAGTCATAATATCTCCTTAGGCTCCCTTGTCTGTGATGGCTTCTCACACTTTCATGTTTTTGGTGACATTGACAGTTTTGAGGAGTACTGGTCAGTTATATTGTAGGATGTTTCTCTTTCGGAATTTGTCTGATGTTTTTCTCATGATTAGACTGGGGCTGTGGGTTTCAGGGAGGAGGTAAAGTGCCGTTCTCATCACATCATATCAACAGTGTATACTGTGAACGTGATTTATAACTGTTGATGTCGACCTTGATCATCTGGCAGAAGTAGTGTTTATCAAGTTTTCTCCACTGTAAAATTAGTCTTCCCCCACTCCACCCCCTTTTCCATGCTGTACTGTTTGGAAGGAAGTCATTTACAGCCCACACTTAAGAAGTGGGGTTAGGGAATTCCCTGGCAGTCCAGTGGTTAGGACTCGCGCTTTAACTGCCAAGAGCCCGGCTTCAATCCCTGGTTTGGGAGCTAAGATCCCACAAGCCGCACAACACAGCCAAAAAAAAAAAGGGCAGTACACTCCATCTTGTTGAGAGCAGAGTATCTACATAAATTATTTGGAATTCTTCTGCAAGGGAGATTTGTCTCTTATCCTCCATTATTAATTTATTCAATCATTTATATCATGTGGACTGATGGGTATATCTTTAATACTTCTACACTTTGGGTTATAATCCAATAGTATTTTTATTTTGATGCTCAAATTGTTCCAATTTTGGCTATTGAGAGCTCCTTTTGTTGGTTCCTGCATCTCTGACATACCCCCATCATTGTGGTGGTGTGTTTTGGGAGCACGGGGTGTTTCTTGGTTTGTTCGTTTTTCTTTTATTTATTTATTTTAATTAATTAATTCATTTATTTATTTTTGGCTGTGTTGGGTCTTCATTGCTGCACACGGGCTTTCTCTAGTTGCGGCGAGCGGGGGCTCCTCTTCGTTACGGTGCATGGGCTTCTCACTGCAGTAGCTTCTCTTGTTGCGGAGCACGGGCTCTAGGCACACGGGCTTCAGTAGTTGTGGCACACAAGCTCAGTAGTTGTGGCTCGCAGGCTCAGCAGCTGTGGCGCACGGGCTTAGTTGCCCCGCGGCATGTGGGATCTTCCCAGACCAGGGCTCGAACCCGTGTCCCCTGCATTGGCAGGCGATTCTTAACCACTGCGCCACCAGGGAATTCCCTGTTTTGTTTTGTTTTGAATACTTACTTTCTGGCACTACCAGGTGCTCCAGGCTCACCTTGTGTATTTCCTGCCCCATTCCTAGAACCAGCCATTTCTCCAAGGAGTCCTAGTTCCTTTTATTGGAGAATGTTATTAGAAACTAGCATCCGGGTGCTGAGTTTTCTCCTTGCTATTGGGGTATCCTTGTTTCTAGGCCCTTTCAGCTGACAAAACAAGGAAGTATATGTGTACATACTAACCTGTGTGTATACACGTATCTAGAAATATTTCTATATGTAACCATCCATATCTACATGAAGCTATAGTTCTTACTGATATCTTTAACTGATGGGTACCTTGTTGTTATTTTTAATTTGCAGTTCCTAATGACAAATGGTGTTGAGCATCTTTTCATGTGCTTATTTGCCATCTGTATATCTTCTTTGAAGTTGTGTGTTTAGATTTTTTTCCCATTTTTTATTTTTATTTATTTATTTATTTATTTTTTTTTTGCGGTACGCGGGCCTCTCGCTGAGCACAGGCTCCGGACACGCAGGCTCCGGACGCACAGGCTCAGCAGCCATGGCTCAGTGGCCATGGCTCACAGGCCCAGCCGCTCTGCGGCATGTGGGATCTTGCTGGACCGCGGACCGGGGCATGAACCCGCGTCCCCTGCATCGGCAGGCGGACTCTCAACCACTGCGCCACCAGGGAAGCCCCCCCCATTTTTTAATTGGCTTATTCTACCAGAGTTTTACATTCTTTTTGGACTGTTATCCATGGGTAAAAAATTACATTTTACATCATTACTTAGTGCACGCACACATTGGTGTGTGGTGTGTATATGTGCATTAAAATAAGTTTCACTGAACAACACTTCACATTTATTCCCTGGAATATGCACTGATACTTTTCATTATTCCGTTTTTAAAAATCTGTTATGTCTCACAGCCTGACAGAGAACACTCTCACACAGTGTTCCACAACTCATAGCACCTCGCACCATGCTGACACTGTTCTCTTGTCCAGTTAAATGCCCCAATAGTCCCTCTACCCTGTGCACACAGAGCTCACTTCTCGGGTGATCTTTTCTCCTTGTCCCATCTGGGCATAGGTTAGGAAGGCCTCAACAACTGAGTCGTCACTGGGTGAGGCTTCTTTAAATTCTAGCCCTGGCTGGAGAACACCTGACTGCCCCAGACTTCGTACTTCAGTTGAGGTGTCTTGGGGTTGGGAGCAGAGCTTCTGAGTATAGGAGTTTGGAATGACACCTCCCACAACCCAAACCTGCCTTCCCCCAGTCCCTGATGAATAGGCAGCCTGCCCAGGGGGTTGCTTAGTAAGAGTACCTGCCTTTGTGCCTCCTCTCTTGCGGGCCCGTGGGCCCACCTGCCTGAGCCAGTTCTGGCTCTTGGCCAGAGTTCAGAGTGTCAGCCCACATCACTGTTCCTCCCCAACTCCTTGCAGTTTGCAGAGCAGTCCCTGATGAAGAATGCCATAAAAACATCGGAGGAGTCGTGGATTGAACAGCAGATGCTGGAAGACAAGAAGCGGGCCACAGACTGGGAGGCCACAAATGAGGCCATTGAGGAGCAGGTGGCTCGGGAGTCCTACCTGCAGTGGCTGAGGGATCAGGAGAAACAGGCTCGCCAAGTCCGTGGCCCCAGCCAGGTGGGTCCTGGGGTCTGTCACTAGCCTGGCTAAGCACCTGTTAATTCCCACGTTCTGCCCACAACCAGGCAGAAAAAAACTAAGCAATTTTGGCATCTGGGAGAGAAGGAAGCTCCCAGCCCCGTCTGTACCTTATCTTGGCCTTAGTCTTGTCATTGTGCCTTAGAACTCTCAACGCTTGTGCAGAACTAGATCTTTTAAGGAGTGAGGGAGGGCAGCCACTGATGGTGACATGCAGGGTTCATGGATAGTTTCAGAGGGACAGGCTTTTGCTGAATGTTCTTGTGTGGCAGGCTCTGTGCTGAGGATGTAAAATCAGGTCTGGCCCACTCCACCCTCAATGATTCTGTCTGTTAAGGGAAACACATGCATCAGTGGGACCCTTGACCCTGGCTGGGAGACCAGGGAAGGTGAGGGCTCTGGTCAGTCTCCACACAGAAAGGTTGAATTTTTAGGGCAGGGAGTGGGGCATGACAGCCAGGCATTTGAGGAATCACAAGGAGTTTAGAGTGATTAATAGACATTGGCAAGAGCTGAGTAATTCGTTGAACAAATATTTATTGCAGGTCTATGCCAGGCACTGTTCTCAGTGTATAGGGGTACATTGGTGAGCCGGGCAGTCCCAGATCCCTGTACTTGTGGTACTTACATTTATGCAGAGTGGAACAAAATAAACATAATGAATAAATTAATTGAGAGGTGGTATGGATGAAAGATGTCGAGCAGGATAAAGGGGATGAGTAGGACTGAGTGGGGCTGGGAGTTCACAGTATTAAATAGCATGGTCAGGGTTGGCCTCAGAGCAGGTGAGATTTGAGCAAAAGCTTGCAGAGGTGAGGGGATTAAGTGCCTATGCCAGGGAAGGCAGAGGGCCAGCTAGAGCAAAGGCCCTGAAGTAAGTGCACACCAGGTGTGATTCAGAAGCAGCCTGGAGGCCATTGTGGCAGAAGAGAATGTAGTAGTAGATGGAGTCAGAAGGCGGTGGGGCCAGATTGGAAGGGGCTTGTGGGCTGTGGTGAGAACTTTGGCTTTTTTTCTGAATGAGGCAGAAGCCATGAGAGGGTTGTGAGCAGAGAAAGAGTGGGATCTGACTTAGGATTTAACAGGATCCTCCTGACTGCTGAGTGTAGAACAGAGTCTAGGGGGCAAGGGTGAAAGCAGGGGACCAACAAGGAGAAGGCTACCATAGCAGTTCTGGTGACTGACGACAGTGCTGGCAAGGGAGGGGGTGAGAAGGGGATAGATTCTGGATCTATTTTGAAGGTGGAGGTAACAGGTTTCCTGTCAGATTGGCTGTAAGGGTGTGAGAGGGGCTTTAAAAGAGCTTACCTTCATCCTGTGGTCCATTGTGTGAACAGGAATGGTGGTGGCCTATGTAGAAGCTATATCATAGCCAGGATCCTGGGAGGGAGCGAGCCCTTTGGGAATGGGGCAGAGGAGGGTTGCGACTGGTATTGGTCTTTACCTCCTCCTCCTTGCTCACCGCAGCCCCGGAAAGCCAGCGCCACGTGCAGCTCTGCCACAGCAGCAGCCTCCAGTGGTCTGGAGGAGTGGACCAGCCGGTCCCCAAGGCAGCGGAGTTCAGCCTCGTCACCCGAGCACCCTGAGCTGCATGCCGAGCTGGGCATCAAGCCTCCTTCCCCAGGCACTGTCTTAGCTCTTGCCAAACCTCCTTCACCCTGTGCACCAGGTCAGTGACTTGCTGATAGGGAGCATGCAGGGGTCAGGAGGTCCTGCCTAGGTCCTGAGCCCTGCCTCTGACTGTCCATCTGCCCCAGGTACGAGCAGCCAGTTTTCGACAGGGGCCGACCGGGCTACTTCTCCCCTCGTGTCCCTCTACCCTACTCTGGAGTGCCGGGCCCTCATTCAGCAGATGTCCCCCTCTGCCTTTGGTAAGCCTCCTCTGTCTAGGGTCCAGGGGCCAGCTGGGAGTTGGGGAGAGATGGAAGAGCCAGCTTGTCCTGCAAAGGGGGCTTCTTGGGCCTCTGGCCATCTCCCCAGGAAAAGAGAATTTTTCAGGTCCAAGAGTCTGTCCCAGAGGTGGATCTGAGTGGGGTTTTGTAGACCCAGAGGAGTCTTCTCCTTAGAGAAAAGAGTGATGGGGGCCTGAATGGGATCTCTCCAGAGCCAGGGATCAGCAAAGGGCAAGGAGAAGGCAGGCTTTACAGTGCTCTGTCATCCTTTTTCCCTTCCTCTTGCCCAGCAGGCCTGAACGACTGGGATGATGATGAGATCCTAGCGTCGGTGCTGGCAGTGTCCCAACAGGAATACCTAGACAGTATGAAGAAAAACAAAGTGCACAGAGACCCACCCCCAGACAAGAGTTGATGGAGACCCAGAGACTGGAGACCATCTCCCAACCCCCACACTCCTGCCCTCTGGTGCCACCCCACCTTCTTTGGCTTTCTTCCCTCTTGCCTTCTTCCTTCTTCCCTCTCTCCCCTCCTTTCACTCCTCCCCACTTCCCTCCGGCTAGCCCACCCCTGCGCACCCTCTCATCGCTGCCACCACCATCATCACCTGTCTCTTCGCCAGCTGACGTGCCCTGTTGCCCCCTGCACAGCACCATCCCTGCATTCCACAGGGGACTCGGGCAAGGGTGCTGAAGGTAGGCGAGAGGCACACAGAGACAAACAACTGGCAGCCAGGCAGCCCCTGAGGAGAGACATTCAGACAGAGGAAAGTCTCCTTGTCCCCGATTCCTTCCAAGATCAGAAACTTGTCACCCCACCACAAATGATGCCGGGGAGGTGGGAGGAAGAAGTGGGAAAATCCCCTTCCCAGTACCCCAAGAATGTCTGAGCCTTCAATGTTGAACTTCTTCTTTATTAAAACGTACTTTTATCTTATAAAATCAACCAATCAAAAACTGATGTAGACAACAGCACTGGCTCTATGAAAGTGGCATCTCTCTGGTTTGGGGGCAGGCAGGCCATGGGGCACGAAGATGTGATTGATGTCCCTGGCCTCCAGCTCTGTGGAGGCGGGCAGGGTCTAGTGTGAGCCAGGGTGGGGTGGGAGGGCAGGGGGGGCAGGTGTCAAGTGGGCTTTGGACAATGAGACTCTGACCTTGCTGCATTCCTTATGCTTCCACCACCACCACCAGTCTTTTTGGAATCTTGGGGTGGGGGGCACCTTTGAGGATCATGGCCACCACCCAGGATTTGAGTGTGGGGGGTGGGAGCAGCCTTGGCAGATGGGGCACCCATGCCCTGCAGGTGTCAGCAAGATCCACCATCTGTAATGTCCTTGGCACAATAAAACCAAATGTCAGTTTCCCCTGAGCGCCTCTGTTCTGTGTGGGACGGGGTGGGTGAGCCTCTGATCAGAGGCGGTGATGGCACAGACCTTGGCTTGACCTCTAAGGGCCGTATGCTCTCCATTGGGGTCTTTCTGGGGGCCCAGAGTTTGTTCATATTTGATTCACTGGTTACTAAACCAGCTTTTGGACCTGTTACCACCAAGAAAGCTCTGTCTTTGCCTATCGCCCTTGCCTCACTATTGGCACAGGATGTAGCCTGCCCACTCTATTTCCTGGGGTGTGATGGGAGCAGAGAACTGTGAGCTTAAAGGCAGGGACTGAACTTCCAACTTCTCTGCCTGCCTCTCGTCCCAATGTGTTTGCTCTTTCCTTGTGATTGTTTGATTAGGAAATGCTTTGGTCAGCCACAACGGTTGCTTCATAGCAACATGAGTTTAGTAGAAGTGACCAGAGGGGGACCCCCCCCCCACGCTTGGTTTTAGAAACCGAGGAACAGCTAAACCTTTTTTTGTTCATGTTCCCCAGTTCTCTTGACACTTCTGTCCTTGCCCTCCCTAGACTAGGTGAAGCCAAGGCAGAGAAGGATGGCTGGCCCTCAGGTTTTGTCAGTTGTCTTTGATGTCCCTCAATAATGGGGTCCTTGTGGAAGGATGTGTGTCCAGTTCTGCAGGTGAGGGTGTGGCTGTCTGCAGGGTGTCTCTGTGGAATCCACTGGTTAAGCACATGTGTGGAGAGTTGGTTTGAAACCTCGGCTTTTTCTAACTATGTGGCCTTGGTCAAATCACAGGCTCTCTGAGTTTCAAGTGTCCCATGTATGGGACAGGGGTGATTAATGTCTACTACCTCATGCTCTCTCTGGTTGTGAGCATTGAGAGAGTGTATATGGTCAACATAATGTACGACGGCGCAGTGCTTGCCACGTTCTGAGAGCTCAAATGTTAGCAGGTATTATTTATTATCCTAATGTTGAAATTTCCGCACCATTTGGCCCCTGCCTACTTCATCTTGCCGCTCTGTCCAGTTTTCCGTGGCCTCTGCCTGGAATTTGCCTTTCCTCTGTCCCAAGCCTCCAACCTTGTCTTTCAAGATGGGTAGAGGGTCTCCTGAGAAGTCCTGTGTGACCCCGTCCACATTCTCACCTCTATCTACAAATATGTCTTTACTCCTTTCCCAGTAACTGTACTATCAACTTCCTGGGCAAGGGCTATGATGCCTGACTTATCTGTGTATCTCTTAATATCTGCACCCCCTCTAGGACCTTGCAGGCTTACAGTAGACCCCTAATAAATGTTGGATGAATAAGGGAGAGTACATGTGTGTATTTGCTTTTTGGGCGTTTGTGTGTGTGTGAGAGACTGTGGTGAGTCCAAGTCTCTGTGCATCTCACAGTGTCTTTCTCTAGTGTGTGTGACAAGGGCTTATCTCCAGGTGTGTCAGATGGTGACTGAGTGTGGAACTCTATCTCTGACAGTTTGTGTCTGTTTCTGAGACAAGTGCATGTCTGTGTGGGTCTGTCTGTGACAGTGCATCTGTGGTTTCTTTCTGATAGGGTGGATGTCCGTTTGTATTCCTGTGACAGATTCTGGGTAGCTATTTCTGGACAGTTTCAGTGACAACACTGCATGTCTGCTGGTGTGTGTGTGTGTGTGTGTGTCTGTGACTGGGTCAGTCCATGTCTGTTTTTGTGACACTGCCTATCTGTGGCTCTATCACATAAGTATATGCCTGCCTTTGGAGCAGTGCATGTGTGTCTTGAGCATCTGTGTGTCTTCCTGTGACAGACTCTGGGTCTCATTTCTGGGACAGTACAAGTCTTTCTGTGACACTGTATGTCTGATGGTGCCAGTATCTTTGTGACAAGTTTTGGCGGTATATCTGACAGGACATTTCTGTGTCTTTGTCACATGGCAGTGTAGGTCTATGTGAATCTATCTGGAGTGCCTTTCTGTAACAGTGCATCTCTGGTGTCATTCTGGGACATAATTTTCTGGCAGCATGCCTGCCTGACAGTAGATTTCACCCTCTGTGTGACAGTACATATGTACATGTGTGTCTAGGACAAGTTCATGTGAATGTGTCTGGCCGTATGTGTTTGTGTATTTCTCACATGCTGCTTTTGTGTGTGTGTCTTTGGAGTGCATGTCTGTCCGTTTGCAGCATGAGGCCTATTTTTCCCAAATTTGTGACTGAGGGTATTTTACTACCTCCCCGAGCCCTCGTAGCCCCTGTCTCTCATCCAGAAGCACACCCCAAGCCACCACCACTCTGGCTTGCTCCCAACCCCAAGAAGCCCCGCCCCCGCCATTCCAGATTCTAGAACTGCTGACTGGGTTCATGGCTGGGTCTAGCCAGGTCTGTCTACGTTAAGGGTTCCACAAACACCCCACAGGCCATGGCCTCAGGGCATGGGAACGGTGCCTTGGACCAGCGCTTCCCCTGAGGTGGTTGTCAGGGAGGTTAGCCCTCCCTGACAGCTGAACAGGTTCTTCCAGGATCCCCGGCTTCAGTTTCCGGGCGGAGGCCGCCGGGCGCCTAGAGGGCTCTGGTCCTGGTTTGAGGAGCACCCTTCCGGAGACAGCGTCCTGGATAACCACAGGCCAGGATTCTTAGAACCCTTAGAAGGCCTGGCGTTAACTCCGCGCTAATCTCGAGGCAGCGGCGGCCAACCAACTTCCTAGGAAAGGAGGCGGTGCAGTTTTTTTTTGTTTATATATACACATACAGACACATATATAAAAACAACTCCGCGCAACAACCAAAACAAAAGCGCTTGCTGCAAAAGGGATTCCCAAAAGCAGTTTCCTCTTCGCACGCACCCCCTCATTTGTATGCAGACCCCGCCCCCGCGGAAGATCCGGGCATGTATTTGCATAAGAGGGTACTTGAAACGTTGAGGGTGGCATGCAAATAAGGACTGGCTCCGATTGGCTGGGGTACAGCAGGTGCTGCGTCCGGATTGATCAAAGCCAAGTGGGCGGGGCCGTCGCCCGGGGCGACTCTCTCGGGAAGCTAGTGCCCTGTCTCAGTAGCGTCGGGGCTGGCGCGCGCGGCGAATCTTAAGGTTGTGCTGTTTGCCGGCTCTTCGGGGCCACCAGTTTCCTTACCTTCCACCCTGGCGCCCCCCAGTCCTGGTTCCCCGGCCTCGCTGCCCGGGGCGTCCACGCCTTGCGGGCTCAGCGGGCTCAATCTGCGCAGCTCCTCCTCCATGTTGACTAAGCCTCTGCAGGGGCTCCCGGTGGCCCCCATGACCCCCACGCCGCCGCCAGGTGAGAGAGGCTCCCCTACCGCGCGACCAGGCCGGGCGGGCTGAAGTGGTTGAGGGCGGCGCGGGGGGAGGGGGAGAGGTTCGCGGCCGGCCTCAGCACGCCGCCACCCTGACTTCCTCGCCTCCGCCTGCGTAGGAGGCAAGGATCGGGAAGCGTTCGAGGCCGAGTACCGACTTGGCCCCCTCCTGGGTAAGGGGGGCTTTGGCACCGTCTTCGCAGGACATCGCGTCACAGACCGACTCCAGGTATCCACCACGAGGGTCTTGGGAGGGCCAGGTGTGTGTGGCAGCGGCGGGAGCCCCGGGGCTGGGATGCTAATTGAGCAGGGAATGAGCCTACAGTGTGCGAGTGGTAGGGTCATAAGGGCCGGGATCCGGGTTGCTGAGGGTGTCTTGAGTGCGCGCGCGCGTGTGTGTGTGTGTGTGGCGGTCCAGGTGGGTATGTGGGGGAAGGGGGTGTTTCAGGGCAAGGATTCTGGAAGTCCAGGGAGTGAGACTGGAGAGTGGCGGGTCGTGAGGACTCTAGACCTTGCGATCCAGGAGAGATGTATATATGTGGGAAGGTGGGGACCTAGAGTTGAGATTTTTGGGATTTTGGAGGCAGGTATCCAGGGTGGAGCCGTGAGAACCAGGACTCCCCCTACAGGGTTGGGGTGTCCTGGGGCTGGATGGGAAGATCGAGGGTTTGGGGTGTTAGGAAATTCAGAACTCGTCACGTGGAGTGAGGGGTCCTGAAGCCTTGAGAAGGAAGAGCCCAGGGCCAAAGATGGTGGGAGAGGTGTACTTGGTTTTGGAGACGTGGAGCGCAGGGAAGAAGCACCAGCTCATTTGGGGTTGTGGTGTGGAGTGGTTGGTTGGGACCAGAAAAACTAGGGTGAGGGTCCAGACCGGGAGAGGTCTGAGGGTCATGTGCTGGCCCCCTCACCTCAGCCCGCTTCTTCAGGTGGCCATCAAAGTGATCCCCCGGAATCGCGTGCTGGGCTGGTCCCCCTGGGTGAGTATCTTTGCAGTCCTTTTTGACCTGGCGACGCCATCTCTGACGATGGATTTCGCCTTTCTATGGTTTGTATAACTCCTTGGGCCCTGTAACGGTGAGAACACTCCTACCAGCCCATGTTTACTCCCCTGTGGTGATATCCACACCTCCATACAGTTCTGACTCACCCCAGTTCCCCTAGAGCCCTGGATTCTCCCCTCCCACCCTCCTTTCTCAGCCTCCAAACATTGCCTCAAGGGCTGCCCGCCGGGCATGCTGGTGAGGAAAGAGGGGCAGAGGTCATTGGTTGCCATGGTGACGGTGGCTGCTTCTCTTCTGCCTTTAGAGCGCTAACGGACAACAGGGCGGGTCTGGGCAAGTTGTAGGGGCGGGAGCGCCCCCTGGCGGGCTCTGGGGAAACTGCGCCTGAGCAGGCTGCGGGACCCAGAGGGAGAAGGTGCCCCTGCGCAGTAGCGGAATTTTCATCACCGTGAGAAAGCCTGTCTGCGGCTGTGCAAGTCAGTGCACTGACCGGCAGAGGGCCCCAGGTCAGGCAGGAAGGCTGCTTCTGGCAGTCCGAGTGCCCGCGCAAGGATTTGAGAGTGGAGCGGGTTTTGTGACCAGTAACATGTATGCGTTTTATTGAGCACCGACAGTATGCCTCAGACTTTGCTTCATCGTAAAAGCTTACTGTGTTCCAAGTTCCACCAAGTACTTTCATTCAACACGGTTCTAGATGCTTGGTGACAGTGACAAAATATCACATAATGACACTATTGAGTTCTTACTTTGTGCCAGTTCCTTTGCAGTTAATCACTTTTAGCTATTTAACAACTGTATATTAGCACCTAGAACGTGCCAGGTACAATTCTAGGCACTTGGCAAAATATTACATTTATTGAGAGCTCTTTTTGGGCTAGTCCTTTTCTACTAATTGCTTTCACCTATTTAACAACTATGTATTGAGCTCTGCCCTGTTACCAAGCATTGTTCTAGTGTTTGAGCTATGGCAATGAACAAAGCAAACCATCACACAATAATAGTATTTATTGAGTGCTAACTGTGTCAGATTCTATGCTATAAAGTGCTTTTATCTATTTAAAACATTTTTAACATTTATCAAGCAACACTGTGTGTAAGGTACTATTCTATATTCTAGTCTCTTTACAGATGTCAGTGGACAAAACAGATAAATTACTACATAATAGTGTTTATCACTTGCTTCTGCTGAAGGCCTTTTGTTAAGAACCACCTTCATTTATTCCTCAAACATTTCCTGAGGGAATTCCCTGGTGGTCCAGTGGTTGAGATTCGGCACTTTCACTGCTGTGGCCCAGGTTCAGTCCCTGGTTGGGGAACTAGGATCCTGCAAGTGGCCAAAAAAAAAAAAAAAGAACTGAGCTCCTATTACATGCCAGATGTGCAAAGGCTTTGGCTTTTTTAAAATTAAATTTTATTGGAATATAGTTGATTCACAATGTTGTGTTAGTTTCTGCTGTACAGCAAAGTGAATCAGTTATAAATATACATATATCCACTTTTACTTTTTTTAGATTCTTTCCCAATATAGGTCATTACAGAGTATTGAGTTCCCTGTGCTATACAGTAGGTCCGTATTAGTTATCTATTTTATATATAGTAGTGTTAACATGTCAATCCCAATCTCCCAATTTATCCCTCCCCACCCCATAGCCTTAAGCTTGAATCACCTTCCCAATGGCTATGTGAGTTTAAGCCCTTAAGATGAGAGAACTGAGGCCCAGGGAAGGAAGCAGGTTGCTCAAGGCCACACAGTCAGGAGGCTGAGGAGCTATGATTTAAGTTCAGGCGAGAAGTCAGCCTCAAAGCTGCTAGCCTGATGTCTGTATTCTCTTTTCTCTCCCTGCTTCCCCCCACCCAGTCAGACTCAGTCACATGCCCACTGGAAGTGGCACTGCTATGGAAGGTGGGTGCAGGTGGTGGACACCCTGGTGTGATCCGCCTGCTTGACTGGTTCGAGACACCAGAGGGCTTCATGCTGGTCCTTGAGCGGCCTCTGCCTGCCCAGGATCTCTTTGACTACATCACAGAGCAGGGCCCGTTGGGTGAAGGCCGAAGCCGCTGTCTCTTTGCCCAGGTAGTGGCAGCTGTTCGGCACTGCCATGCCCGTGGAGTTGTCCATCGTGACATCAAGGATGAGAACATCCTGATGGACCTCCGCCGGGGCTGTGCCAAACTCATTGATTTTGGTTCTGGCGCCCTGCTTCATGATGAACCCTACAGTGACTTTGATGGTAAGGCTTCCCTAAATCTCTGTGGGGGGAGTTTTCACCTTTTATCTTTTTGGTCTCTTGACATTTGCCCTCCAGTGCTGGGGTATCCTGTAACCCTTGATCTATAGTACACCTTTATAAGGTTCTTGAGTTTTAATTTTAGGGGCTTTCAAGCCTTGCCCTCTAATAAGTCCATCTTCTGACAGTGCCCTGATCTTGTTCTGGGCTCTTATTCTGTTGATGGGATCCTGCTATTATCCTGAGTCTTCTTTTTCTGGTAAGGAGGTCCTACTGTACCTTTTAAGTGCTTTTATTCCATTGAGCTTCTATTTCTGGTGAGGGGACCCTGCTCATACAGTGAGTTCTCTTAATTCTAGTGAAGCAACCATACTTCCTGGGGAGGGTGGGATGGGAGAAGGGCATTATCAGAGAATGGTCTAACATGTGGCTTATGTGCAGGGACAAGGGTGTACAGCCCCCCGGAGTGGATCTCTCGTCATCAGTACCACGCACTCCCAGCCACTGTCTGGTCACTGGGTATCCTCCTCTATGACATGGTATGTGGGGACATTCCCTTTGAGAGAGACCAGGAGATTCTGGAGGCTGAGCTCCACTTCCCTGCCCACGTCTCCCCAGGTGAGGCCCCACCCGCCCTAGCCCACCAGACTTCATCCCTCCCAGGGATTGGTGCCCCCAACTCACTGCTAATCTCCTGCGTGCTTCTGATCTGCAGATTGTTGTGCCCTAATCCGCCGGTGCCTGGCTCCCAAACCCTCTGCCCGACCCACACTGGAGGAGATCCTGCTGGACCCCTGGATGCAGACACCAGCCGAGGATGCATCCCTCAACACTCCCAAAGGGAGTTCCACCCCTTTGGCCTGGTCCCTACTGCCCTAGTCCTGGCCAGGGCCCCCATTAGTTGGAATAGCCATCCCATGGCCACGCCACAGGGATAGATGGACATCTGTTGATCTGGTTTTACAGGTCATTAAAAATCCAGTGTTACTAGGGTCAGAGATTGGGGATCAGGTGTCAGAAGACATAAGCCAAGTTTACCTAGTCCCTATCCCAATCCTGCTAAGGAGCCTTCCAGAACGTATGCTCTGTTATTCTGGAGGGGGTCCTTCTTTGCTACTTGTTTTGCTAAGGGTGTTTATTTGGTTGAAATTACATTCTGAGCCTGCAGGGCTCTTATTCTGATGAGCAGTAACCCCTACACTGGCACCTCCTGCTACCACCACACAAACTTAGTTTAAATGCTCTGACTTGGGCAAGGGTGCTTTCCTTCCAATACCCCAGCGGCTCTTATTTTAGCAAAGGGACACTTTCCCCTAGCCTAGGGTCCCATATTCAGTCAAGCTGCTTGCCTACCTCAGCCCAGCATTGTTTATTCTGGGGGAGGTAAGCCCTATTGTTGTCCCAGGGCTTTTGTGTGTGTGTGTGTGTGAGGGGACCCTACTCTGTTATCCCAAGTGCTCTTATTCTGGTGAGGAGAAACCCCACTTTCATGATTTGGGAGGGGATGGGAGATGGACACTAGGTCCACTAGGATGGGGTGGATGGTTTTTTGGGGGATGGGGTGAGGGAAATGTCTTGTTTGTTCTCCTAGGGCCCCACCCTCCACCTTTTCTTGATTCTTGCTGCCTCCTTCTGAGCCAGGGTTGTCCAGTTGCTGAAATGTAAATACTCATGTATTGGGGAAGGAGAGCTCCAACTGTATCTTCCTCTTCCTTCTCCCCCGCCTGGATTATTTAAAAAGCCATGTGTGGAAACCCACTATTTAATAAATGTAATAGAATCAGAAGCGACTGGCCATTTGTAGATGTGGTGAGGCATTCGTGGAGCATCTGTTGAATGCTGAGCCAAGAGGGAGATGCATTGGACCTCTCTGCCCACGGGAAGCCTCAGTCTTGTGGTGCCATCCTGAAGATCTTTTATGGGTTCATTTAAGGTGAAAGAAAAACTTGATTTTCCCCTCAGCTCTTATGTAGCACCCCGTATGTGCAGAAGGGCTGCTTTGGAGATACCGTAGACATTGAAGATGTCTGGGACACACTCCCAAATCAAAGATGGTCAGCTCAGAGGCAGAAAAAACTCCTTTCCCCCAACCCCAGGGGAGGAAATACCTTCCCCATGGGAGAAGAAAAGCCCTTTCTGGGGCTTGGTGAGGGCAGGGTGGGGGTTGAGCGCTGACAGGAATCTTCCTAGCCCTTCCTTGTTTTCTAATAACGTCCAAGGTGGAGTCACCTGTTTTGCCCCTACCTTTTTCACCTCTTCCTTGTCTTCTTACCTGTTCATCCCGCTCACTTCAACTTCCTCAACTCTTGACTTAACCTGCCCTGCCCTATTTTATCATAGTTGCACTTGTCCCGACCTCAGCTGTACCTTCTCTTGCCCTGCTTTCAACAGCTAACCTAGGGAATTTCCTGGCTGTCCAGTGGTTAGGACTAGGTGCTAGTCCTAACTGCGGTGGCCCGGGTTCAAACCCTGGTCGAGGAACTAAGATCATGCAAGCCAGGCAGCGTGGCAAAAAAAAAAACCCAAAAAACAACTAACCTGTAAACCTCTCACCTGCTGGCTTACCTACCCCCTTCTCACTTTTCCATTCTTAATGGTGACTCACTTGTCCTCCCTTCTCAGTCTGAACTCTCCTGTGCCATTTCACTAGTATATCCTCAACTGCCCTGCCTTTATCTGCTCGCTTACCTGCCTGACCCTCACCTGCCCTGTTCCCTCAAAGTCTCACTTCCCTCCCAGATACCCGCTGTCTCTCCAGGGGGCGGGGGTTGGCCTCGCCGGCAGAAGGGAGAACTAAAGTCCAACCCGGAAGGACCCAGGAGTTTTGATGCAGAAAGGGCGGTGCCATCAGAAGGTGGCAATAAAGAGCCGAGACAGGAGACGGACACCGGAACCAAAGAGACGAGGAGACAGAATGGGCGGGCGATATGGAAAGCGGGGTCAAAGAAGATGAGGGCGGGTTTAGTAACGGGAGTGAGCTAAAGAGGCTCTGTAAAGAAGTGGGAGAGTGAGCCGGCTGCGTGCCCTGTCTCCGGATCTCAACGGAATTTGGAAATCCTGAGGCCGCTCTTAGACTAGCGTTCAGGAACGAACGAGGAGAGCCACCACTCTGGGAAGCTTCTCGCTCGCCCCATTCCCCACACCGGGGTCCCGGAAGCGGAAGTAACGGACACGGAAGTGGCTTACTGTTGCCGAGGGGACGGGCCAGGCAGATGCCAACATGGCAGCGGTGGGGTCCGGCGGTTCCCCCGCGGCGGCCGGGCCTGGGGCGGTCTCTGCAGGGACATTGGAGCCTGGGACCCCGACTGCGGGTGAGACAGGCTGTGGCTGAGCAGTCGGCGGCGGGCCGGGGGGTGGGATCGCTGGGGGGTCAGAAAGGTTCCTCACTGAGGCGAGAGGGAGCATCCCGTACGGACCAACCTATGTGTGGGGAGTGGGGGGTGGGAGGAGGACGTGTGTTTTGGGGGCGGGGAAGAGACCATTCTGAGGGTGATGGGGAGGTCCCTTCTGCAAGTGGGGAGTAGAGACCATTCTGAGTTGGAGGCGGGTGTTTCCTTTTGAGGAGGCTAAGACCACTAAGACCATTCTGAGTGTGTGTGGGGGTCCGTCCTTATACAAGGGAGAGACCATTCAGGGAGCGGGAGAGTTCTTCCTTACAGAAGGGAGGAGCTGTTCTGAGGGAGGTGGTTTCTTCCTTGTAAAGGGACAGGGGTATTGTGAGTTAGGGTGGGGCAGGTTCTTCCTTATATGACTTAGAATGTTTTGAGGATAGGGATGTCCTATAGGACATAGGGAGAAGACAGTTCTGGGGGTCCCTTCCAGATGGAGATAGTTCATTGTATGTTGCAGTGGGAGGGGCCTTCCTTATATGGCGGAGAAAGGACGTCCTGAGGGTGCCAGGCCATTCCTTATAACGGGGAGAGTTCATTGTGAGTGTGAGCAGGACAAGGGATAATTCCTTGGGTGGGGGTATGCGGTGGTGGGAGGATGATTGGTGTATAGGGAAATATTTCCTTATATCGTTAAGGGACCCAGACCATTCTTAGTGGAGTAACCATTTACTACATGGGGTTCAATCCTTTGGGCAGTGAGGGAATCATTTCTTATATTTGTTAGACCATTCTGGGGCAGGGAGGAATCAGTCATAGGCGGGAGGGGTTGGAGAGACCATTCTGAGTGTAAGGGAATAGAATAATTTAGATGAGAGAACGTTCCTTAAGGGATGGACATGCCTTATACAGTGGTCTCATTCCTTGTAATAGGGTATCATTTTTCACATGAGACAATCCTTCACTAAATAGAACCATCATTTCATATAAATCTTTGGTTGTTCATCCATAAAATGGGAACACTGATAGTTCCTTCAGAGATCAGAGCCATGTAGGGGTCTGTTGAGGTGATCCATATAAATCCCTTATCCCAGTGATAGGCACGCAGTAAGCACTCAATAAATGTCGAGGATGCAGTTGGTATTCTGCCCAGGGCAGGGTTGCTTCTCACTCAGGGGAGGGAGAGAGAGGGCTGAGGTGGGTGTCCAGGACCTGCCCCACCCATTTCCTGCCACCTCAGCAAGGATTCCAGGTATGGGCTGGACAGGGAGAGGCCCACTTCTCCCTTTCTGGCTCTTCCTGCCTGTGGCTGAGGCAGTGGAAGCTGGCAGGGATGAGACTCACGTTGGGTCAGGATAGGCAGGCAGAAGGAGGAAGTAGCGGTGGCTAGGAGGATCCTGGTCGAGAAAGGAGAGGGGAGGGTGGTAGTGTGGTTATGCCACAGCAGCTTTTGATCCCTTCTTCCCCCTTACTCCTTCCATTCCCCACAGCTCACCGGCGCCTCAAATACATATCCCTAGCTGTGCTGGTGGTCCAGAATGCCTCCCTCATCCTCAGCATCCGCTATGCCCGCACATTGCCTGGGGACCGCTTCTTTGCCACCACTGCTGTGGTCATGGCTGAAGTGCTCAAAGGTCTCACTTGCCTGCTGCTGCTCTTCGCACAGAAGAGGGGTATGAGCCAGGGAGGGGGGCTTCAGGGAGGGGGGCTGCATTGGAGTCGGTGGGTGGCAGTGTGTGTGTATGTGTGTGTGTGTGTGTGTGTGTTTACGTACCCGCTCCCACGTGGAGGGTTTGGTTGGGGGATTATCTCTGTGTCTCTGAAAATGCCTGGGGACTGTGTAAGTGTGGCTTGGCTGCCTTGTACCTCCAGCTATGAGTAGTTGCATCCACATGTTTATACCCCTAACTACCCAGGAGCTGGCCAGTAAACACTGAAGGAATGAGACAGTCTGTGCCCATAAGGTAGCAGGTGACCCTTACATGATGATTTATTGATTTCTCTCTAACTTTTCATTATGGAGAATTTCAAACACAAAATCAGAGAAAATAATAAAATGGTAAAATATCCGTGTCCCATCACCGAGATTCAGCAATGATCAACTCATGGCCACTCTGCCATTAAACAGCATCAGTGATTATCCACTCACTACCAATCTATGTGTCTGTTTACCTACTCCTGCACCTTGATATATATATATATATATATATGTGTGTGTGTGTGTGTGTGTGTTTACGTACCCGCTCCCCCGTGGAGGGTTTGGGTGGGGGGTTATCTCTGTGTCTCTGAAAATGCCTGGGGC